CAGAATCCATTTTTGATTCACACTCCAAGGACAAAATTTAGCCAGGCTTCAGTGGCTCATGCCTATAATCCTAGCTACTGAGGAGGTTGAGAACTGAGGATCAGGATTCAAGGACAGCCCAGAAAGAAAAGTCCATTAGGCTCTGACCTCCAATAAACTATTCATCAGAAGCCAGACATAGCACTGTGGTTCAAGTGGTAGAGCACTACCCTCGAGCTCAAAGAGGCTCAGGGACAGCAAGTAGACTCTGAGTTCAAGCCTTAGGACTAGCATAAAAGTAAAAAAAAATCTATGCTCTTAAAACTCTCCCTTCCAGAAGTACCATAATTCTACAGGAACACCTGCTGAGCAACCTACTCCCTACTGCCTTTCAGAACCAAATTGTGTGAAGTCACAGAAGAGAAAAAATAAAACTGTAATATTGATACTTTGTACCTTGGGGATATGTGACTACATTTCTTCAATTAACTTTCCTAAAACAATTGCCTTAGAGCAAATGTTCACCAAGAATTGTCCTAAATCTGTGACCTGTAGTTAAGAACAACAGGCATTAAATTCTGTTTCAACAGATCCTTGTTACACTTGATGTTATAATCCTGGGTATGGATTTTTTCAGGATTGCTTTAGGCTTTAGAAGTACATGGCCCATAATGTATGAAGAGAGATCCATTTGGGTTTTACTTTTAAATAGGAATTGCATAGACAGAGTAATAAAGTAAAAAAAAAAACACCAAAATACATTATACAATATATCACATTGAAACATCTTTCTTTGTATAGCTAATATATGCTAATAAAATATTTTTTAAAAACTCAATAGGTACTATTCTTATCCAAATAAAAATCAACCAGTATTAAACTTGGATCAAGTCTCAGAGATTTTATATAGCCTTTATATGTATTACCTTACTTAATTATTACATGAAGTATGTGAAGCCAGTACTCTTACTGTTACATATTAGAATACAAAACTACGCTAGCATGAAGTTCTTAACCAAGGATTATTATGAATTAGTGAGGTCTTGGGTCTGACTCCAAACTATGGGTGAAGGAAGGAAGAGCTCCAGCTCACCTTCAGGCATCTTTCTACATTGAGCCATCCTTAATTGGTAAATTATATAGAAAAGAATCTAGTAATCTCAGCTTACTATGAGGCTTTTATTTTACAAAAATGAGAAGGATTACACTGCAGTGCAAAGGTTAACATTATTCAGTTTGACAGGTGGGTTAGTTAAATTAGCTTTAAATTTGTTTGTTTTGATATTGACTAGAAATCTGTATGATTTACTTAAAAGCTAGTAACCAAGGAAAGATATCTCTTTTTCTCTACAAATAATCATATTCTTTAAACTTATCAGAGAATGGAAAAGAAAAGATCCAATATAGTTGCAACCATGACAGGGATATCTTGTTGAAATAACCACTCTTCAATCAATTAAGCCACAATGTATTTACAATATATTGTGAAGTAACTTTAATAAGTATAAGAACTATTGTTTTACTTGAAGAAAACTTCAAATAAACGATGTTTTTTAGCACAAGAATTCTACTATTTAAAAAAGCATGCTAATCTAGATAGCTAGTGCACTACAAAGTAAATAAAGTTTTAAAACAAATAACAATTGACATAGCGTCCTCATAAAAATCTTTATTGTCCCAATAACTGCATACCCATTAAGATTATTTATTGCTTACAGATAAGACCAAGCTAAATTCCATGTATAAGTTAATACATCTGAGGCTTTTCCTGGCAGCTACTTTGATTCCAAAATAATGCCTTCTTCAGACAAGTCATATTTCTCATCCATCAGGATTTATCTCATTATCCCCATAATCCTCAAGATTCAATCCTCTGACCTAATTTGGCCAAGGTTCCAGAGGCTCATTTCAGGCCATTCCTTCCTTATTCCATCTGGAAGTCTTCTGGGAAGTAGAAAGCAATATTCTGGACATTTAGTGTTCATTGTCTCCAAGTGGGCAATTTCTTGATAAGGTTGTAAAATAAAGATAAGGATATTTCAAAGGTTACAGCTTATGTTTGGTGATGTTGAATATCTTATTTGCTTTTCCACTTTGTAATACAGATTTCAGATTATTGTATGGTATTTATTTCCCTCTTGATTGAATACTTGGCAGGCATGTGAATAACAGGGTGAATGAAAAATTAGACTGGAGGGAAAAGGGGGAAGAAGTTGTAGATAAATGGAGAACTTTGTGCTTCTACTTATGCTCTGTGGATTTAAGGAAACCTACTTAAAACTTAAACTTTTCTGCTTCAGAGGCAAATTCTAGTTTACTTAATATACTTTTATCCTGTACTTTATGTGCCAGACACATTTCAAAGTGCTTTACAAACAGAAACTCATTTAATCCCCATGACAACGTGATAACATAGGTGCTGTTAGAAACACTATTTAACAGATGAAGCAGCAGAAGGTCAGAGAAGTATTAAGTAATTTGTCTGATATCATATCACATACCGACTGTATATAGTATCAAGGTTTGAACACAAACAATTTGGCTTCAGGGACATTTAATTATCTCAAAAACATCTTGCTGATTTTTTACCTTAATTTCATTAGTCATGCATTCAACCTCTTCAATTCTATGAGACCTATTCTATTCCTGCAAATAACCAACTATAGATCATAGCTATGGCCACAGGCCCCACAAGAAGACTTTAAAAGGGGATAACTGTTAAATTTTTGAGCATTCAGTTGTTAGTCTAAAATATTTGTTGTTGTTTTTATTTTTTACATAGAACAGAAGCACAATCTGAAGAATCATGTAATTTTCTTCTAAAGATCAAGGCAATATGATAAGACTGAATTGGGAAGGAGGAGGAGAGGAGAGATTGTTAGAGGGGTCATTATGATCCAGAAACTTTTTAAACAACATAATCTTATTGAAATGAAAACCCCTTGCACAAATAATATCAATAAGAAAGTATTTTTAAAGAAAGAAAATATTAAAGAGAAGGATAGTGAACAATACAGAGGTATACAAAGCAAAGCTAGACTTCTTGTCAGAGTGCTTTTGCCTTAAAAGTCTCAAAGGAAGAAATCAATCCTCTTTAGCCACCTATGTATTAGATGACCAGGCCCCAAAACCTGGAAGTACAGTCTTTTCATGATACTGAGCTTGACTTGTTTGGCTTTGAAATGTCAAAATGAAGAAAGTAGAATGATGGTTTCCAACCTTGGGAGACTGTAGAACACAGCTCAGTAATGTTTTGTAAGTCCAAAAATAATAAGGAGAAATAAAATATCTCCCTAGAAACCTATGCCAAATAGGTTCTATGTACTCTGAATAAAAATGAATGTTTTATAATATAATCTCAGAGTCCTAGTTATTTTTTTCCTGTTCCAACTTTGTTTTTCATGACTCACTAATCATTCAAAATTAAGGGATAACACTGTTCAAAAAAATGTAACTCAATACCTGACTTATGTAGGTGTAACCATTCTGTACATCACCTTAAAAAAACTGTGGAGTTCGGCCAGGTGCTGGTGGCTCAAGCCTGTAATTCTAGTTAATACAAAGCTGAAGTTCAAAGCCAGCCCTGGCAAGAAAGTTTGTAAGAGTCTTACATCCAATTAACTACCAAAAACTTAGAAATGGAGCTATGGCTCCTAGTGATAAAGCACAAGCTGAGTTCAAGCCTCAGGAAAAGTCATATATATTCATACTCACATATACACACAGGCAAACACAGGCACACACACACACACACACACACACACACACATACAGTTTAGGATACTTCTGTTGTCCTTTACTACCTGAGCTTCCTGCATCTCTCAGAATTTCCACATCTTGCTAATCTCTATTACTCCCAATTATCTACATGTTAGTCCACTACCACATACTATGTTAGCGTGTCCTGACTCCTTGAGCCATGAATATTGCTTGCTGTCCAAGGCTGGCCTCTCACACTGGAGTAGTCTCTGTCACACCAATTTGCCAAACTGGATTTAAGTAATATCAGAAGTGTGGGCTTATCCTGGTCTCTGTCAGTCTGTTGTTACCAAGTTTGCTTGTTTTTTCTTGTGGTAGGGGTTTGCTACCTCTTTCCCCCAGGAAACTGTGGTTGAAACAGCAAACTTTTTACTATTCTCTGTTGCCTTTTTGCTTTTGCATATACTTCAACTGTCCTGCCAACTCTTCCTTGATTCTCCATTCTCTTCTTTGAAATATTTTCTCTCCTTTTTTTTACTTTAATCTCATTTTTAGAATCACCTGGAAGAAGCTTCCTATCTGCTCTCTTGATCTATTTTTTATTTGTAACACTAAGGATTTTTTTGTTGTTGTTTTGTTTTGTTTTGTTTTGGGGGGTCCAGTCATGGGGCCTGAACTCTGGGCCTGGGTGCTGTCCTTCAGCTCTTCAGCTCAAGGCTGGCACGCTACCACTTGAGCCACAGCACCACTTCTGGCTTTTTTCTTTTTGCTTATGTGGTGCTGAGGAATCAAACCCAGAGCCTCATGCATGCAAGGCAAGCACTCCACCACTTAGTCACCTTCCCAGCCCCTGTAACACTAAGTTTTAAGAGCTAGCTAGCTAGATCTTATATGTAAATCCCTTGCCAGATTCATGATTTAAAAATATTTTATGCCATTCTGTGAGATGTCTTTAACAATTATGGCTATGTCACCTTATGTGAAAAAAATTTCAATTTTGACAAAGTCTTGCTTAATGGAATATAGATAATGGCATCCCGATGACTCGAATATGTGAATCTTTTTACAGTACCAGATAGCTCAGCCATTCCTAAGCCTATAGTGTAGAAATTCATATAAATTACAATGGATCCACAAAAATGAATGAATTGTGCATGGCATTATTGTTCTATTTCTTCTCATAAGCAGGGCCACAGCCGGTTCATAAACTAACAGGCAAACTATGTGGATAAAGTTTTACAATCAGCTAACAGAAGCTCTAGTACAGTCGCATCTACCCAACCACCCACATTGGTAGTGAACATAGTGGATACAGAAGACAATTCAGTGAGAGACACATGTTTATTTTTTACTGTGTTAGAGTTCCAGAGACTGGGATGGGTCAAATTATTATGGTAAGTTCAACAGAGTCTGTCTGATTTGCTGAGGTCAAGTTTAATTTTTTATTCCATAATAATTTCAGGAACAGGTCTAGAACATCCATTTTCTAGATGCCTTTAGCCTTTGAACTTACAGACAAAGGAATAAGTTTGTTCACAAGACAAATCCTTCCATTTCTTGTATCCTGCAAGCCAAAGAGAAGAATCAGAATGAGAATCAGGAAAGAGAGTAGCCCTCATGACTCTAGGACTCAGGACAGATAATTTTCCATTTCCTGAAATTTGCATTGCCCTTCCTCTTGACTCCCACTCCCAGGTTCATCATAAGTGTGAAAATAAAGAGGAAAGCAAAATGTGTGTGGATTCTCTGCTTCTTACCTTCATTGGAAGCCAGTGCTGCACAGTAGCCAGGATTGTTATTGTTTGGAGATCCACTGGTCCAGGCTTTGTAAGTAACTGGGGAACTATTGCTCCAGTGCCAACGACGGTTCTAGAGAAGGCCCAGAAAAAGGACATATATCATCCCCAAAGTGATATGTGAGTGCACTCAGAATTCTACCAGGATTTATGACAGAAATAAACTCATTGTCCACAATCCCTGAATATCATATTGTTTCTTTGCTTTTGGTCTCATCCTTTTTTCCCTTTACCTTTCAACACATCCCTGAGATCAGGAGACAGTCTGGCTTTCACACAGCCCCATAAACACTCCTTAAAGAAAGTGGTTCCTGATTTTGCAAACTTGTGGCCCAAGGTCCTCATAGCACATCATATCATTGGCTGTTAACATATTGTTTGATATAACACCAGGTCACTCAAGCCCCTGCAATTGATTATCTTTTGCAAATCACTTTTGTTTCTATATACTCTGCAAAGAGCTCTCATATAACATTGATAAGAAGAAGGTAGGTAAGTGATGGCATATAAAAATGTTTTAATAGAAACAAACAGAATGATTTTTATCCATGAATGCATGAAACACCTAGGAAATTCAGCATTCAGCTCTCTTTCCAGCCAGCTACAGCAAATCTCAATACCCCCAAACACTGCAGAATCAATTGAGAGATGGTATTTATGTGAAAATTATAAGAGTTGGTTTTTGTGTTGTCAGATTTTATTCCCCAGCTTTCCTCACATCTGACTTTGGGGAGAGAGTTAAGTATGCTGCAGACTAACCTTTTTGGGATCATAGAAGCCAATCCAGATAAATGAGTTACGAACACCACTGTCATTAATCAAAGAGGCCACAAAGTTCCCTTCTGACTGGTTGAGTACAGATACAAGGTGGCCTGATTCAAAGGACTGACAGTAGATCTGTGGGGAAAAGAAAATGGAAATATTTAAGGAGTAAGAAAATTTAGAAATGTACAGGGTTTTCCCAAGGGTTATGTAGCAGTATAGCACTCATGATGATACTGTCATAGGCCACCCGCAGTCCTGTGTGTGATGGCCCAGATTGATAAGACAGAGTAGAGGGGACAAGCTTGGGGTTGGTGATAGGAATAAGTCCATGACCATTCTTATCTTACCAAAGCCACTGATGACACTGGAAAATGGAAACTGCCCCCCTACCATCATGTGAATCCCTCCCCTACATCGCTCTCCTCACTCACATCTGCATCAGCCCAAGTCAACTGGTCTAGGTAGTTGTAATAGTAACAGTGGGAACCATAGAAAATGGAACCTTCTGGGCAGCTCATGCGAGGAGATGGGAGGTCAGACTCAGCCTCCTGGCCTGGGGAAAGAAGAATAAATTGTAATAGATTCATAGGGACATGAAAAGGCTGGAACATGAAAGAAGAGCTTTTGAAGTTTCTTTTTTTTATTGTGAGAATACCATACAGAGGAGTTACAATTACATGGGCAAGATAACGCGTAATTTCTTATCAAGAATTGTTGCCCCCTCTTTGTTTCTTTACAGGAGTCTAAGGATGCAATATGGGCATGGACTGACTACTGACTTCTGCCCTCCTACATATCTGCTCTGTCTCTGTCTCTCTGTTTCTCCGTGTCTGTGTTTGTATCTGTATCTGTCTCTGTCTCTCTGTCTGTCTCTCTGTCTCTGTCTGTCTGTCTGTCTCTCTGTCTTTCTCTGTCTCTCTGTCTCTCTCTCAATCTCTTTCTTGCTCAGACATCAAAAAAATACCTCACGATAACTTGGCTTAAGATATTTGTTCCAAGTTCTTCATCCTCCTTCTTTTCCAGAGCTTTTATTCTGGCTCGAAGCTTTCTCATTCTTTTTTGGCTTTCCTTTTTTTTAAAAATATTTTTATTGTGAAAATACCATACAGAGGGGTTACAATTACATGGGCAAGGTAATGAGTACATTTCTTATCAAGCATTGTTGCCTTCTCCTTCGTTTCCCTTTCCCATCCCTTCCCATCTCCTCCCCTCACCCCCCCCCTCCAGCCAAAGTTGTAAAGTTTGTTTTTGAAATGATGTCATGTATATATCATTGTTGCAATGGGTCCATCTGTATTCCTAGTTAAACAATTAGTTTTTTCCCTTCCCCTCCACAAATTATACCAACATCAAATACAGTGAAAGCAGGGGTTATGCTGTGGGGGGAGCGACATACAAAACAACAAAGAAATCATCTTATAAATATGTTAGAAACAATAGCATGAAAGCAAAAACATTTGAATTCTTATCTTGGGGTTCATTTCACCTAACATCAACTTATCTGACCTTTACTGCTTGTCTACAACATATACTAGTTATTGAAAATAAGGGGAACTATGGGACCTATGTTTCTTTAGGCCTGGCTTACTTCACTTAGTAGTATGGAGGTTCCTCAAAAGACTCCACATAGAACTCCCCGATGGCCCAGCAACCCTACTTTTGGGCATTTACCCAAATGATCACAAACAAGACCACATTAACGCTACCAGCACTACTGTGCTTATTGCAACATCATTTACCATAGCTCAGATATGGAACCAACCCAGATGCCCCTCAGTAGATGAATGGATCAAGAAAATGTGTTATATATTCACAATGGAATGCCTCCATCAGAAAGAATGACATTGCACCATTTGTTAGGAAATGAGAAGTCTTGGCTTTCCTTATAGAATCCCCCCTATACTTCTCCATCCTACGAATGACCCACTGTATACAAACTTCCCCAAATATGATATCAAACTAATTTAATATGGTGAACTATAATTGATTAGTGAATAGGTGAGGAGTAACTTTATATTTTTTCCCAAACTTCTTAAGAAATTGAGGCACATTTAAAGAGATTAGAACAGAAATAAAGGTGAGCAGCAACAACATCAAAAATCTTGTTTGTTTGTTTGTTTTTTCTGTCTGCCTTTTCTCAAATGGATTACTACACATGGAAATGCAGTGAAATCTTGAGGCCTGAGTGGATGAGGGGATTGTCGTGGGGAGCTCACCGTGGCTCACAGACAGGAATATCAGGCATGGAATCAGGATCAAGAATGTGTTGGTCTTTGCCATCTTCATCAGCAAAGTTTCTTGCAGAAGGATTAGATAATCTCTAAAAAGAACACAGGAATGAGGGCTGTAGACATGCAAAGCAGACCACTGGTTATCTCTCCTGTCATCTCCTTTCTCAATTCCTGAGTTCATAAGTGCCTAAAGGCCCTGGTAGAAATACAACACTTCCCTTGAGAGTGTAGGGATTACAGTCTGTAACTTTGAGGCAGATTTTGTTCCTACTAAGGCTTCACTGATACTACATCTTTGTACCCAAACCACCCTGTATCTTCTCCCAGATTTCAAGAGAACAGCTGATGTTAGCGGTGCTCTCCTTCTGTGACACTTACCTTTCTACTGCTTTGGTCTGAAGTGTGTTGTCAATGTAGGCAGGGATTGGTCCTATATAACAGGAAGGTCCAGAGCATGTGAGTGGGGGAAGGAACAAGGAGTAAGTATCAGCAGGCCTTCATGGGAAAATGACAGACAGGAATCCTGGAATTAGGAGTAGTCTCTTACTAGAACATCCTGAGAAAGGTCACAGATGAACTCCTCTTCCCATAAACAGATTGGCAAGCATTCTAAGTCAAAGCCAGGCAGTTCCCTCCCCCAGCAGCTGCCACATGCCCGGTTCACACAACCTTAGAGCAGGTCACTCGCGTAGGAAGCATTCTTTCAAAAATAAATTAATGGTGGCTCTCAAGAAGAGCCGGCAGCAGAAATAATGGTAATGGGTATGTAAACGAGGAACAGAATGATCTTTCTGTCCACCAGGACAAGATGTAGAACAAAACTTACCTGACTTGTCCAATATCATACTGTACAGGAAAAGGGGGCTCTGCCTCATCGCCTCTCTTCCAGTCTTTCTCCCTACCCCCTTTCTTTCTTTTCATTTTAACATCCCATGGATTTTTTTTAATTGTGAAAATACCATACAGAGGGGTTCCAATTATATGGGCAAGATAATGAGTACATTTAGTATCAAGCATTGTTGCCTCCTCCTTTGTTTCCCCTTCCCATCCCTTCCCATCCTCCTCCCCCACCAAAGTTCGTTTTTTGACATAACTCTTTGTACATCTCATTGTTGCAATGGGTCCATCTGTATCCCTATTTAAACGATTTGTTTTTTCCCTTCCCCTTCACAAATTATACCAACATCAAATACAGTGAAAGCAGGGGTTATACCATGGGGGAGGGACATACAAAGCATCAAAGAAATCATCTTATAAATATGTTATTTCATGAAAGCAAAAACATTTAAATACTTATCTTGGGGTTCATTTCACCTAACATCAACTTATCTGACTTTCTCTGCTTGTCTCAGACATATACTCGTTGTTGGTGGGAGTGTAAACTTGTTCAACCACTTTGGAAAGCAGTATGAAGGTTCCTCAAAAGACTCCATATAGAGCTCCCTTATGACCTAGCAATCCCACTTTTGGGCATTTACCCAAATGATCACAAACAAGGGTATACTAAAGCTACCAGCACAACTATGTTTATTGCAACATTATTTATCATAACTAAGATATGGAACCAACCTAGATGTCCCTCAGTAGATGAATGGACCATTGATCCTTTTTTCTCTTTTTCTTCCTCTCCAAGTATTAGTGACTCACAGATTACTGCTCAGGCCTTGTTTTATCAGCCCTCCTTGTTGTCAGTTTCCTAAGTAGCCCTCTGCCTACACAGCCTTTTGAGGATCTTCTTGCACAGTTAAAACCACTCAAGACAATGTTGCCACTTTAACAGTAGCTAGAAGGCCTATGCCTTTCTTTATCTGTTGAGCACAGAGACTGATCAAGGTAGTGTTCTCCCTCATAAAAAAAAAACTAGCAGGTGCTTTTTTAGAATTTTCTTAAATAAACCAGCTAACTTTTCCTCAGATTCTGCCCCCTGAGTAGAATTTTTTTAATTATATTGTCAAGGTAATGAACAGTTACATAAGTAATGTAGTGATTACATTTTTGCCTAACTTTTTACCCTTCTCATTTTTCTTCCTCACTCCCTCCCCTCAACTCCCCCTCAAGTTGTACCAATCATTTGCAACATATTGTCTTGTGACTTTCACTGTTGCATTGGTTCCCCCTTTGTCCTTTGTCTCACCATTTTGTTGTTCCCTTTCCCTTCCCTAGTTCAGATAAAGATATATACAATATCCAGGGTACCAAAATCAAATGAAATGACAACAGAGGATAAACCATCGGGGGGATAAAATACAAAAGGAAAAAGAAATCATGTAGTACATTGAGAACAACAACAACAAAGGAAAACCTCTTGTCTCAATGTCTTGGAGTAAAAATGAAACTCATTTTCTCAGATGTCTTTGGAAAAAGGTTCTTACAAATCTCAACAATTGGGGGCTGGGAAGGTGTCTCAGTGGCAGAGTGTTTGCCTGGCATGCATGAGGCTCTGGGTTCGATTCCTCAGCACCACATAAGTAAAGAAAAAAATAAAGCCAGAAGTGGTGTTATGGCTCAAGTGATAGAGCACTAGCCTTGAGCTGAAGAGCTGAGAGACAATGTCCAAGCCCAGAGTTCAGGCCCCACAAGTGGGGAAAAAAAAGAAATTTCAACTATCCTTAAGGGAAGAATAATACGACAATCTTTGGTGACATAGACAGTAGACCCTGTGTCAGGGTGAAGTCAGTAATAAGAAAAATAGGAAAAGGAGAGATATTTCTTGACATGGCTAAGTTGTCAACAGGTATGCGGGACATTGTTCCAGAATAAAACCAGGGCAGTATGGCTGATACTTACATGCATACAACCATACATGCATACATATATGCACACACATGAATATATATATATGTACATACATACATAAAACATATACAGACATATATGCATGGGCATATATTAAAACATGCATTTTTTATACTAGGAATCTAATGGAAACAACAATACAAATTAGTAGTTATGGCTTGAATTGACTTAGATAAGGTAATTTTTTCTAGTGCACTGAAAAACAAGACGTTGGCTGAGGAAAAATCAATGAAGGCTCACAGATTTTACTATACTTTGAAACTAAGTTAGTCTTCCACAGTTTCACTGATGCTGACAGAATACCAGGAGCATAATTCCTTACTGTGTGGTGTAGCAGTAACAGCACATTCGCTCTTTCCTCACCTGCTAGGATATCATATAGTTGCATACCTACATGTGCAGATGTGACATCATACTAGATAAATATTACACTGCAGTTAAGTTCAAAGAGTTAGAAAAGTTGAAAATACTGTACAGAGGGGTTACAATTACATGGGCAAGATAGTGAGTACATTTCTTATCAAGCATTGTAGTCTCCTCCTTTGTTTACCCTTCCCATCCCTTCCCAGCCCCCCCCCACCTAATCCTCCCCCCCCCACACCAAAGCTGTAAAGTTCGTTTTTGACATGACAACTTGTACATCTCATTGCTGCAACGGGTCCACCTGTATCCTTATTTAAACAACTTGTTTGTTTGCTTGCCTGTTTTTGTTTTTTAATGTACTGTGTGAAGTTAGTTCTTTTTATTTTGCTTTCTTCTTCTTTCCTTTGGTTTATCCCCTGTTGTTACTGTTTTTGATTTGGGTACCCTGTGTCTTGTGTATACATTTATCTGATTTAAGGAAGGGAAGGGGAATAAAAAATGTTGAGAGCAAGGACAAAAGGTGATCCAGTGCAACAGCAATACTCATAAGATACTATGTTGGAAATGATCTTTACAACTTGGGAGGAGAGGAGGTGCCCAGAGGAGGGAAAGTGGGGGGGGGGAAACAAGGGAAGGGGTAACAATGTTCAACAAGATAGATACTCATTACCTTACTTATGTAACTGTAACCCCTCTGTACATCACCCTTACAATAAAATTAAATTAATTTTAAAAAGTCAAATAAGTAATGAAGACCAAATAAGTAATGATATTTAAAAAAAAGAAAAACTTAACAACTTATAAACTGTAGTAAGTGATTCCCCTTTTGCTTCACAAAGAGACTTTATTATCATTCTGGAGAGAAAACTTGTCTATCTTCACTATAGATGGAAATATAGTTTAAATCTTTCAAGAGTATACACAGATATACCCGTTGCTGTGGGGGAGATGCCATTTCTATTTTCAGAGGTTCTTGAAAGTTCTTCTAGAATAAAAGTATCTGTGACTTGCCTTGAAAGAGGAAAAGAAACATGAAAGACACATAAGAATTGTCTGTCAACTGGGCATCCTTTTTTCCCAAATAAAAGAAGAGGTCTTTTTCACTTAAAACTTTAGAGGTTTTTTATTTCCTTATTTCCTTGTTTATTAATATATTATTTTTCACTGTTGAGTAAATAATCTGAGGTCATCCAACCTGTTAGGTAACCACTCTCTCACCAAGTCTATAATATTTAGAAAAAGATACATAGGTTCATACGTGTCTAATCGCCTTGAGATGGTTCTTTAGGAAGATGGCAGCAAACAGATGCTGAAATATTGAAAAACTTAAAAAAAGATGGAATTGAAAAATGAATGTACAGAAAGCAATATAAAAGTGGTGCCTGAGATAATGAAGGTACCTCATGCATCTTCAGTTAACATTGTTCTTATAGAACTTTTCTTAATCATTTCCTGAACTCTACAAAATGTGTACCTCTCTTGGTGCAATGTGTTCAGCCAAAGCTTAATGAAAAATGTATCAATATGTATTCACCTCAAATATAAATCCTTTAAAAGAGTTAAAAATAGATTAAATCTTATATGTACATTGCAAGCACAAAGATGAAGATAATACATTGAGAAGACTACTGAAGGTCAAGAAAGAATTCATCCATCCCAAGTGTTACAGGAGCAAAATGTTGCACCGTGGGACCACGGCAACTTACCCAAAAGTTATTGCTTCTTGAAAAATACATTTTGTCAGGCTAGAGTATAATTCTAATTGTAGACTACTTGCCTAGAAAGCACAAAACTGTAGTTCAAACCCCAGTCTTGCTAAATTAATTAATTAATTAAAGAGTTGTCTAAAAGTCAGAAGGCCAAATTCTAAAAACTATTACATCCTATCACAGAAAAAAATATATACATAGACATTTATCATTCTAGAAAATTAGTTGGAGCTTTGGAGGGTAGAAATACAAATAATGAGATAAAAGGTCACATACGGAATATTGACACTTAATATATTCTAGTGATTCAACATACTTGAAGTCAACTGAAAGTTTTCATCAAGTTTTAATTATTTTCATGGTCAAGTACTAACTAATCAGTTTGAAGTAAAGGGTAAAAACAGGGTGGGGAGAAATAAAGAATCATCAATAAGAGAGAATTTTTGTCTACTCTCCCTACTGCTTTTCTCTCCCATGAATCTTCCCCAAACATCTGTATTATTCTTAGCTGAATCCTTGTGTCCCTTCCTCGATTACTTCATCCTTCCATTTGTAAAGTTTCAGGAAGATGTTTTCTTGTTCC